ATATCATACATTTATTTTTAGTTTACTTTTTTTTTGAGAAATTTTTAAGGATAATCCTCTCCCAAGTTTCAAAATATGGTAATATAATTCCTTGGTTTTATAGTATATGAGACTCATATTAATGGGAATTTTATATTTATATCAATTCCTCCATTCAGTTCATTGAATTTCTGATTTTCTGACTTAGATTTTTTTTTAAATTTTCAATAATACATTTATTTAACCCAATTTATCCAAAATATCATCATTTCAACTTATAATCATTATAATAAAGTAGTTATGATATAGTTTAGATGTTTTGATTTCTAACTCCTTGTTTCCTGTAATCCCTAAGACACTGAGTAGTTAGATGTATAAGATGGACAAAGCTGTTGGGCATGATTCTTTAACAAATTCTCCCTCATTCACCAAGCTCCTTAGACATAGGTTTTCTCAACCTTAGCTTCACTGATGCTCTGGAGCACAGGACTCTCTCACCTGATCCTTTAACTCATCTTCACTGTTTCCTGGTTTGTTTCTTCTACCAGATGCCAAAGGACAATGCTAAATCTTGTGCTACCTTTGCCCAGGACTATGCAAAACTCTACTCTTGTTATGTCATTTGTTTCTTTTCTTTATTTCTTAATTACACCTAATCACAGTAATTCAAGGTTCACATAACCTTGTATTGAGGTTCTTGTATTTATCAGAAAGGTACAGAGAAGTAAACTGAGTCTTTAGAGCTTTTTTTGTTTCTGAAGGAAATTTGATTGGTGCAGGAAACACAACATTCCTTAAATTCTGATGTAAGAGAGAGAAGGAAAAGTTATTCTATAACCTTTACAACTTGTTATATCTCGGTCCCAATCTTCAGGATCAGGACCCTTGCTGAGTCCCACTCGACAACAAGTTCACCAACAGTGGGATCCTAGGGTTCACTGAGACCATAAACATCAAATTATGCTTCCTCAGGTGCTAAATATGTGTGAGGAAGGGATAAGGATAAATCACTCAAATAACTATTGGACACTCAGTGAGAGGTGTGTGACTGCCGGCAGACTTGAAAAGTGAGTTTGCTGAAGGTATTCTGAAGAGTGGACTTCCAATAGTGCTGTGAATCAATGTTGGCTGCTGGAAAACAAGCCTCATGGACCAGCAGGCAGAACATGGTAGAGCAATGGGCATGGAGTGACTTCCTTTGAAAAGCTTCAGCACAACACAGGAGAAGAGCAAGACAAAGCCATGACTGGTTTTGAAACCAAGGGTCACGATAAACAGACTGCCAGTAGGTTTGATTTAGGAATCTCTGGCATGATTACTAGCCCAAAAGTTGGTAGGTTGAACTTACCCAGAGGCACCTTGGAATATAGGCTTGGTGATATGCTTATGACGAGTCACAGCCTTGAGAACCCTGTAGAGCAGTTCTATTCTGTACACATGTGGACACTACGAATTGGGATCAACTAGATTAGCAACTAACAACAAGTTTGATATCATTACTGTACAGAGATGTCCAAATCATTTATATACATATTTTCTCTCTTTTAGGTTCTTCAGCTGGGATCAGATATTCTTCCTCAGTATAAGCAAGAAGCGCCAAAGACACCACCACACATTATTTTACACTATTGTGCTTTTAAAACGACTTGGGATTGGGTGATTTTAATTCTTACCTTCTACACCGCCATTATGGTTCCTTATAATGTTTCCTTCAAAACGAAACAGAACAACATAGCCTGGCTGGTGCTGGACAGTGTGGTGGATGTTATTTTTCTGGTTGACATCGTTTTAAATTTTCACACGACCTTTGTGGGGCCCGGTGGTGAGGTCATTTCTGACCCCAAGCTCATAAGGATGAACTATCTGAAAACTTGGTTTGTGATCGATCTGCTGTCTTGTTTACCTTATGACATCATCAATGCCTTTGAAAATGTGGATGAGGTAAGCAAATTTCTTTTTTTACTACTATGGATCATATGGTTTGAGAATATTAGGATAAAAGGAGTTGACAGATAAGCCAAACTCCTTTTAGCCAACACTTAACAACCTTCATTCTACTAAACACTTGCCATACATTATTCTCATATTTGATTAATTTTTGTCCACTATTTTTTCTTCATTCTGATAAAAAAAATGCTAATAATTTGAAAAATAACCAGAGGAGAAGTGATGGTTGTGGTTAGAATAAGTGGAGGAAAAAAAAGCAGAAGCATTCAAATACAGTTTATAAAGTAGATAATTGATTAAAAGATGATGAAATGAGGTGCATTTGAAAAACTATAGCATTTTAAGGGAGCTCTGGTAGCATAGTGGCTAAGACACTTGCCTGCTAACCAGGCGGCTGGCGGTTCAAACCCACCAGCCACTCCTCGGAAGGAAGGTTGGGCAATCCTACTTCCGTAGTGATACTGCCTCGGAAACCCAAGGAGGGGTCGCTATGAGTCGGGTTTGACTCGACGGCACATAACAACAACAACAACAACATAGAATTTTAAAACAGTATCCATGGATCCTTTTTTATAGATAACTTTTTACTGTAATTTGGGTGAAATTTTAGAGAGCAGGTTCATTTTACATTCAACAGTTCATACACATTTTGTTTTTTGACATTGATTACAGTCCCCCAGTGTAACAGTTCTCTTCCCACTTCCTCCCTGTGATTACTCTTCCCTGTGTCCTTCTTGCCTATACATTCCTGCCTCCCTGAGTATATGACTAACTTAATTTCCCTATGTAAATGCTGCCCTTCTAATCTTCCATGCTTGATTATTCTAAGGAGTACATCTTCCTGGTGTAGATGTTCAGCTTTGTAAGCCTGTCTATTGCTTGGCTGAGAGTTAAGTCATGGGAGTGAGTCCAATTCCAGGCCTGAAGAGTGGGTAGGGATCATTGTCTTGGGGGTTTCACTAGTCTCTATCCAACCAGTAATCCTGGTGTTTTTTATGTTCTTTAATTTTGTTCCACATTTTTCTTCCATTCTATCCAGGATCTCCAATTTCAATCCTTTTCTGAGTGGTTGGCTTTGGTAGCTAGGCACCATCTAGTTCTTCTGGTCTCAGGATCATATTGGCTAAGGTTCTCTTGACTCCTCTCCTTCAGATAGATATGGTTGTAGTGCTCAAGTTCACATAAAGATAAGGAAGCTTTTGTGGAAGAACAATTCTTGAGTATTTAATGTTTTGCTCTCCTTATAGATTTGCTTTACATTTTGTCTATATATGAGTACATTTTTGGGTAGAGCTGTGTTGGATGACTTCTGATGTCTAGGCTAATTAAAAATTCTCACTTAAATACATCTGTGCAACTAGAAATGCATAAAAAATGTACATCTCATAAAGACTACTTCATCTGAGCTCCTTAGCCTCTAACTTAATAGTGAATGGTTTTGAAGATAATAAGATACAACCCACAATTTCAACTAATAATATATAAATGAGTCAACATAGAAAGAATCTATTATTAAAATGTGTTCATAATGAGAATATGACTAACTTAATTTCCCTAAAAACTCTACTGTGCTCTTGTAGACTGGTCAGATGGAAAATTGTCCGTTATATTGTTGTTACTCTCTATGTGTTGGGAGGTAGGTTGGAAGTTTTCTTCCGTGTTTTTTCCCCCCATAAAATTTGTATGTTCAATCAATTTCTGTGATTTTTTTTCATGCCTTAGTTCCCAAAAATTTAAGTGTAGACATTGTATTTTGATACTGAATATGTAATATTTACTTAAAAATTATGAACAAAAAGGAATTACAATAATTTCTTTTCTAATTTTGAATTTCACCTATATTAAGCTTTTAAATGTACACTTACTTCTTTCCCACTGACCCTCTGGATTGAAAGGAATTAATATTGAAAATGCTAATCAATAAACTACTTTATTTAGGAGGACAGTGGTAGATCAGTGGTAGAATCTTTACCTTTCATATGGGAGTCCTAGGTTTGATTCCCAGCCAGTGGATGTCAAGTGCAGCCACCACCCTTTGTCCATAGAGTCTTGAGTGTTGTTATGATGCTCAACAGACTACAGCAGAATACCACACTAGGATGGACTAGGAAGAAAGGCCTACTGGTCTACTTCAAAAAAATCAGCCTAGGAAGACCCCATGAATCACAACAGTCTGATAATGAGGATGGTGCAATAGCAGACAGCATTTTGTTCTATTGTGCTTAAGGTCACCATGAGTCAGGGGCTGACTTGATAGTTAATAAAAACATATATTACTTACTAAATGGATTAATATACTCAGATTTAAGTTATTTAAACTATAGGCATAAACATTTAATAAAAATAAGCAAAAGATTTACTTAATTCCTAGAAAATAAAATATATTAAATATATTACATGATAATAAACACACTTAAAATAATGCATAAATATATTAAAAGAGAATTCAGTTATAGTAAGGTAAATGTTGTTGTTGTTGATATGTGCCATTTAGTTGGACCCTACTCATAGCAACCCGTCCTTGGATTTCTAAGGCGGTATCACTATGGAAGTAGATGATCCAACCTTCCTTCTGAGGAGTGGTTGATGGGTTTGAACCACCAGCCTTCTGGTTAATAGTCAAGTGCCTTAGGCACTATGCTACCAGAGCTCCTATTAAGATAAACACTAAATGAAATTGCAATGAAATGTCATTTTTCAGTTATCAAACTTTGATAATACACCAAGTTGGTGATTATGGTGGTCAAAGAGGTGTCCTGGTGAGATCTCCTTTCAAGAGAACCTGCTGTGTGGAACACAGTCAGTGGCAGGCTGAAGATCTCTTCCAAACTCAGGCCTCATTGACATCACACTGACAGTTTGAAATTAATCACAGTAGGAGCATTTATACCACAGAAAGCTGAAAATTGTATAAATGAAGGCTTTTTTTTTCTTTCCCAACTTCACTTGAGAGCCAGTCATTAAGCATTGACCAACACAGTTGATCACAGTTGCCTGACAACTACTGTACCTTCTGATCTGTTGAAGTGCATGCTATGAGGCCATATTTTCTCAAGGCTTCTCCAAGCCCATGGCTGAGAGTGTTGGGGATGCTATAATTAGTATACTCTTGTCCAATAAAAGATTCCTCTAGCAAGTAGCTTTTCCTGTGAATTCCTTATTCTCATTTACCTGGTCTGGACCTTCTCAGAACTGTGCTATGGGCTGTGGCCTTCTCTATCCAATCCTTCCTTCCCTCTTGAATTTGGAGTCAGACCAGCAATGTGGTATGAAAGCTCTCCCTATTTCTCTTCTCTCCTTCATCTTTACTAGGCATTTATCTTAGTGAAACTCTTGCACATCTAATTCTGACTCACCACCTGCACCTTAAAGGACTTGAATTGACAAAGTGAGGGTGTGGAGAGGTACTCTCATACATTATTAGGAAAGAATGAATTGGTGTAAGCTCTACAAAGAACAATTCGACAGCATCTTATAAACTCATGGTGATACTATATGTGCAGAGTAGAATTGGTCCATGGGATTACCAAGGCCATGTCTTTTTAGAATCAGATCACCAGGACATTTTTCAGAAGTGCCTCTGGGTGGGTTCAATCCACCAACTTCTTGGTTAGTAGTCGAATGTATCACCCAGGGCTGCTATGATGTGAGTCCACATGATTGATAACTTTTATTTTATTTTTTTAATGATTATTTTTATTTTAAGAGCTTGTTTTACATTCAATGTCACACATACATTTAGTTTCATTCCCCATTTGCCATGTCCAACCCTAACCCAGTCTCCTCCCCTCCCTACCCTGCAACCCTCCTTACAAATTGTTTAGAAGATTATTTTGTTATTTTCTTCTATGTCACCAAATAAGACAATTCAATACATATGCCAAGAAATTTTGAAGACAACTACCTGGCTAACCAACTGGAAGAGATCGATATTTGTGCACATTCCAAAGAAAGATGTTCCATCAGAATGTGGGAATTATTGAATAATAGCGTTAATGTCATACCCAAGTAAAATTTTGCTGAAGATATTTCAAAAAATGGTTGCAGCAGTACATCAACAGGGAACAGCTGGTAATTCAAGCTGGATTCACAGGGATCCAGGGATCCCTGTGGAACAAGAGATATCATTGCTAATGTCAGATGGATCTTGGCTATAAGCAATGAATAACAGAAATATATCTACCTGTGTTTTATTGACTACACTAAGACATTCAACTGTGTGGACGTAAAAAATTATGAGTAACATTGTGAAGAATGAGAATTCCAGTACACTTAATTGTTCTCATGGGGAACCTGTAAATAGACCAATAGGCAGTTGTTTGAACAGTACTGCAGAGGATACTGCATGGTTTTAAATCAGGAAGGGTTCATGTCAGGATTGTATCCTTTCACCCACCAATGTGTATGCTGAGCAAATAATCCAAGAAGCTGGACTAAATGAAGAACATTGCATCAGGATTGGAGGAAACCTCATTCACAACCTGTAATATGCAGATGATACAACCTTTCTTCTTGAAAGTGAAGATGACCTGAAGCATTTACTGATTAAAGACTATAGTCTGCAGTATGGATTATACCTCAACATACAGAAAATGAAAATCCTTACAACTGCACAAATCAGCAACATCATGACAAATGGACAAAAGATTGAACTTGTCAAAGATTTCATTTTACTGGGATCCACAATCAACACCAATGGAAGCAGTGGTCAAGAAATCAGACTTATTGCATGGGGGAAATCTTCTGCAAAAGACTTCTTTAAAGAGTTAAAGAGCAATAATGTCAGTTCTAAGACTAAGGTGCACTTAACTCAAGCCATGACGTTTTCAATTGCCTCATATGCATATGAAAGCTTGACAAGGAATAAGGAAGACAGAAGAAGGGTTGATGCCTTTGAGTTGTGGTGTTGGTGAAGAATACTGAAAATTCCATGGACTGTCAGAAGAATGAACAAATCCATCTTGGAAGTAGTGCAGTTGGAATGTTCCTTAGAA